TCTTCTACGTTGTCCGTCCGGGGTTGGCTTTATTCCTTCATCATCAGCTCCATTCCAAGTTCTTCTCTCAAGTCTTGGTCCATGGCTGCTCTGGATCACCAACCGGGAAACTTCTCGTCCTTCGTCTTTGTCCTTGCAGTCATCCAGGGTGGCTTGGCTCTCGTCGTTCTGGATATCACCTCTCTAGCCAATCGCAACACTTTGTTGTGGATCCCCTGTCGCCCGGGGTGCCCATCCAAATTTTCTTCCAGGAGCATCGTGTCATATGAGTTGCTCTATTCGACGGTTCCTTATCAGTGGTGAAAGACATCTAACACTATGCAACTACGTGAATAGGGAATATATTAACCCACTAGAATCACAAACACATCTTCATATAGCGGTAGCGCAGGTATTGCAGCGTCTTTTTGCTCAATTCTCCGACAATTTCCGCGCTGCAATACATTTTGAACGCGAGTAGGACGTAGACTCAGCAATTGTAGCTGACGAGTTGCACTCCCATCTCAGAAACGTATCCGTCCACTCTAAAGCGCCCTCCAATGGTGGAAGATGCGGCACTAATTGGTGTGCCAATGCCCGAAGAGTCGTAGTGCAGCTAGACTGCATTGAGTCATAAATCTTGACTTTCTTCCTTTCAAACCATGAGTGCACACCAGTGTGTGCCACTGCAGCTTACTATTGATACTACAATATGTGCTCTTACCTTTTCGGAGAAACTTGGAATGGTGTCCAGCTCTGACGACATGTCCTCAGTCTCTCCACCCGATAAGCAGGTGGAACAGCCACCGACAAATCCAGTCCATCGATCCATTTCTTAACTTTGTCGATGAGGTTGAGTGCGTCAACCGCCTCATCGACATCAGCGACTGCCCGCTAATGACACCAAGTCCAGGAAATTCGACGCCAACGTCGCGTTCGGCAAGTGATGCAGCGGGGCTGCCGAAGCTAAGAGAGGAAGCCGTACGACTCAAAGAGTCCCTAAAACTAAGTTCCTTATCCGAAGGAAACTTACAGCCCAAGAACCAGGGCTCAAAATTATTAAGAACACTAATAACTTTTATGCTTCAAAACCCGAAGTGTTTTATGTATTTTTATTGCGGCCAAGCCGCTATCTCTGTTTAACTATCTAGCATAGTTAAACCTACTCAAATGTATATCGTGTCAGCCTCAGCCTATGTACTGAGGCCACTGTTAACTCTACGATTCATGTACTGAGAGTCTGTTAACTCTTCGGGTACTCCGAACCCACGTGTGCACCACACCCGTATAACCTCGTTACAAGTGACCTGTTCTTGTTTTGCACGGTCATCATCTTCTTTTTGGCTCGTTGTATCAAATCTTTCAACAAAATACGGAAGATGCGTGTTGGCATCAACGGGGATTTGTTTGTAGGCAGCTTAGCGAGTACATAAGCAATCGGGGTCTTCATCTTTTTCTCGAACACGTAAAGTTGAAATTGTCTCAGTTGCTCAGCATTTTTTTTTTTTGCGTATGTTGCCTCATGCTACACGAGATCTATAATTGATTGTAGGCTCAGTTGTTTGTCGTGGAGAATAGAGTCTGCCTTCGCCATCCTTATCGCCGTGTTCTTTTTTTTGTTGCTTTCTTTGACTTCTATTTTGGACGACCACGTGCTCGTATGGGACTAGGGATTTCAAAACCAGGCGCTGTAGAATCCATTGGTTTCGAGCTGCTCATTGGGTGGTGCTAGATATTGCTCCACAGAATGCACAGACTTCTACACAGATTTTTCGCCCGACACCACCGACTGTTCCGCATTTTCCACCGACCCCACCGACAGTTCCGCTGACGGAGGGTCTACTGTCATCACGATCGTTGCTGCGGTGTTGCAGGACTCTGTCGGGCACTGTGTCACCTCCTCCTCGTGGAGTTCATCCCTCTTCGGATGCGTAGCTGGTAGTGTAGACGAAAGCTCCTCAAAAATCTCAAACTTCTTTTCTCGAAAAATCACAGACACTTGATTCAATGCTTTCATGCAACTCGATACTCGTTCATTCCCAACGAGCTCACAGATTCGCTGATAGCGGAGGCAAGGCAATTTGCCTCTCGAAATTTCCGGTTGACATCCCATGGAGACCTTGGTGGTGGTAAAAAAGAGGTCACAATTCTTAAATTTTGAGCCAAAATAGGTGGTGAGTGTGTGTCTTTCGTAGAAGATAACAGCCATCGTGGATGCAGCAATTGGGTAGGAATGATAGTCTCCATCTTGAGCTTGTGTCGAACATAAAAAATGTGGCAGCATGGTAACAGTTTTGCAGTCATGAATAAGCAAGAGCACTCCCAGGTCGAACTGTTGATTGTGTACTGCACAGGCGGTTCATCCAGACTGTCCTGATTTTCTGCATCGTTTTTAATCGAAGTAATTGGTTCGTAAAACGTGTATAGCGCTGGACCGATTGCGTACACGTACTGCTCGTGAATGAACGAGCATACGTGCTTACTCATGTGGTGAAGTGACAGTTGGTTTTTGCGAACAAGAAGCTGATTGATGGGAAGCAACCCGATCCAGTTCGGAGATTCATCGTCGATGAGGGCGCGTCAGTGATTACGTCATCATCGGTGAAGATTACGCAATCATCGGAGTGGAACGACTTTGGTGCAATCATTTCGATACGCGATCTTCCCTCAAGGATTCGATCTA